AACATCATTTGCTTCCTCACACCCTGTCTCCTTCACACCAAGGCTGTTTTATTGTTTTATAACCTTCTTTTAGAGCTTCAGTTGCCAAAGATCCCGATGGGGCTATTCTCCAGTTTCTCACTTTATCAAACCCCAAGTCTTGCTGTTTTAAGCAGTTTGGTCACTTGCAAAGGCTCCCCTTTCAGAGCCAAGCAAATTATAGAAACCTCTAGGCATGTGGCTACCTTCACCTTTCTCACTGAGCCCATCCACAACAATACAGAGCCAAGTGTTAACCCCAAATGCCACCCCCACCCCAAGCCCACCCAGCCTCTCCCTAAGCACCCTTTTTTTCTGTTGAAGTTTGAACAAAATCTCAAATAATTCCTGGTATAAGCAAGTAAGGAGTAGCCTTTGACTTGCCTTTTTATTTACCACATCTAGAGCTAGAGAATGATTGAAATAAAGGAGTTGATGGTACTCACAGTGAATGCAGCCAAAGAATCATAAGACATGCCCACCAACCAGTCTTTTCGAAATAGCACTATCTCCCAGCTTAAACAGACTTCTCTGAAAAGATGCTATTTGAAAAGCCCAGGGTATTGATATGAATATGATCCCCCTTGCATGCTGAATATTTGGAACTATTTACATGTGAGAGAACAGTTGCAGTGAACCTTTATTTAGTGAATAAAAGTTTAAAGCCGAAGGTTATTTATGGTTGTGCAGAGATGAGACCTGAGTGGCTATTTACGAGCACGTGATTCCAATAAACTTTGTTTTATGGCTTGAGAGTTGACAAGCCAAAATATAATTCCCACCATAAATTAGGTTAAGAGCATACAAGTGCAGATGCTTGGTTCTTGGAGCAGCGATAGGGAAGTGAGAGGCTCCAGCTAGCACCAGGCTCAGAAGGAGACAGTTCTACTCCCAGTTCCCTTGCCCACTAGGAGAGAAAACCAGTAAGTCACTTATTACTTTTTCCAGGACAGCTCCAGGGGTGGAGGATTTCTCTGCCTTCTCTTTCCTGCCTGGGGTGAAGAGAAGTCCCAGAGAAGTTAATTTTCATTTTAGCCTAAACCTCACTTAACAAATAGAATGGGAATCCCGGTTTCCTCCTCTCCCTTCTGGACACAGAAAGTTAGGAACTGAGGGCTCCTACCTCACAAAAGGGACTTACTGTCTCTCTCCTCCTCCTAATGGAGCATCTGCCTCAGACGTGGAATTACACAGTGGTAGTCTAGGTGGAGAGAGTGCGAGAGTGGGGGAGAGAGGGGGAGGGAGGGAAAGGATGAGGATGGAGAGGGCTTTGCCTCTGAGATTTCTCAGGGAAGACTGCCATCCTAGAATAGATGAAAACTTAAAGCTGGACACCAGCCCCTGTGAGGAGCATGGCTCTGTAAGATTGCTTTGTGGGCGCTCCAGTGGCAATGCTTGACAAAATGCTGTCACATCCAGAGAGCTGCAGAACAATCTAAAGCATTGCCATTTACCTTCAAACCCATCGATTTTCCTCCTCCTTTGGTTATCATTTGGGTCCTCATTTCCCTTGGAAATTGTTCTTTGTTTTGAATTGGAGCAGAAGTGGGAAGGCAAGTCCCAGTCGTGCCTGGCCCTTCTTTGGAAAGGAGAAGACAGGTTTGGGGGGCGCTAGTTGGGGCTGGGGAATTTGAAACCAATCTGAAACTGGGAAAGGGGGTTGAATTGCGCCCAGCGCGAGGCAGACGGGGAGCTGGGGCAGGGGACAGATGCAGCGGCCGCCCCCTCCCCAGTGGACTTGCGCCCACCCGGCCGATTGTGTAGAAGGAAACACACAAAGGCCCATTTTCTCCTCGCTTCCCGTTTTCCCACTGGGGAAACCCTGTTACAGGCAGCCTGAGTCGGGCCAGGCAACCAGTAAGGTTTTGCCCAAGGGTGCATGGAGTGGGGGAGGTGACGGGGGCCATACTCTCCCACTGCCCGGGTCTGCCCTTGAGGACTGCGGTCTTGCGCTCCGCGGAGAACTTGGCGCAGTTCCTGGGGGCGGCACCCGAAGCGGGGCGGTCTGGGTATTTGGTGGGGTGCCTGGGCCTTGTCATTTTTCTGTATATCCTCTACCTCTGCTTTATTATCCTGTGGAATTTAAGTGACCCCCGTTTTCATTGCAACAGGTTCGGGGCCGTGAGAGACTGCCGCTGTAAGTACCTTCCCGTTTCTTCCGAACTGCGAAGAGGCGGTATTGATAACTGGGGAGGTGTTGGCGGAAGGGCCGCGCCAGAAGACTGGGCGGGTGGAAGGGCGGCCCTGGCCGCCCTGGCCTGGCGGTGCGAGGCGAGCTCTCTTTGGGAGTGGAGGCTCTGAGTTGTGCTCCCGGATAGATTTCCTGGGGCCTAGTTCACAGCCACCCAACCAAGAGAACACACCGCAGGCTCTCGCCCCTGCCTCCTTGGGCCTCTCTAGGCCTCCCCAGCTCGCACAGGTGCAGCTCCGCTGCCGCCCTGCGCTTCTGTTAAGAGCTTGCAGCTAATTAGCAGCCCGCCCTATTAACGAGTTTCGAGTTTCGGCGAGCATCGCTTTCTGCTTGAACCAGCCTGCTAAACGCCAGACCAACGCGGTTCCCCTCCGCAGCCCAGCCTAGCTTAACCCGGTCCAGCCTGGCCCAACCTTCTCTTCTCTTGTTTTGTTCTGTTTTTAATAAAAAAGAAGAAAGAAAAACGTAACCCGCTACGGCTGCGGGTGTGTGAAGTTGGTCCGCTTCCGGGAAGGGCTGCGAATTCTGAGCTTTAGGTGGAAATCCCTCCCCGCCCCTCCCCCGCGCCAGCCCCAGAGGTTTGGGCTCTGGGCTGGGGACACCGGCTGAGCAAGGCGGGAGGGATACGACCATTCTGGTTCACCTCTGCTCCTCTGGAGCTGCAGTTCGAGAATTTTCGCGCCAGAGCCGCTAGTGTTGCAGGCAAACGTCGTGGTGGTGGTGGTGCTAGGGCTGCGGTGGGGGGCAGAGATTCTTGGGGACCTGGGCTCAGAAGTTTGGATCTTTCTGAGTTGCCTGTGCTGCGGAAGACAGGTACATTTCTGAGGCGGCCTGTGAGATCTCCAGGAGGGCTATCCCATTAAGGTGATGGTAGTGGCAGAAGAATTAAGGAAGAAACAGTGAGGCTTCCCTCACTGCAAAATGGAGATTATTTTATTTTAATGGGAGATGGAATGTAGGAGGGCTATAGAAGCCAGGCACCCTTCCTCTCTGGTGAGACACCCTTTGCTAGGGCTTGGCTCTGGGCCAGGTTTCTCTGCCCTCCCAGGGTGGGCAACCTACTTGACTTCCTGGGGGGCTGTGTTCCTCCCCAGAAGTGGAGATTCGGCCCAGTTCATAGTTCCCCTCTATTAATCAGGCTGGCCCAAATGAAACCAGCTCTGGGCTCCAGGCTGGAAAATCTGGTGTCCCCAGGACACCCTGGTTTTGCCCCCTTTCTGCCACTGCCCCTGCTCTGGGTGCTTATCTCTGCCAGTGCTCCTCGCTTGCAAACCCACATTCGGCACCCTGTAGCTGAACACAGCACAAAAAGCCCGAGAGATCAAAAGCATTTGTATGGGCAGTTGAGCGGGAGGTGAATATTTAACGCTTTTGTTCATCAATAACTCGTTGGCTTTGACCTGTCTGAACAAGTGGAGCAATAAGGTGAAATGCAGGTCACAGCGTCTAACAAATATGAAAATGTGTACCCTCACCCGGATCCCCACCCAGCCCAGCAGCCTCCCCCAATTTGTCTGGGTAAAGCCTAGGCCCAGTGTCTCCAGGCAGGTGGGTGTGTGGGAGCGCTGGGCATTAGGGGAAGTTGGGGGGAACCCCCCCTGAACAAGGGAATTTGGTATGGGGTAGCCTCGGACTCTCCTTAGATTTGGCACCCAGGAAATCCCTACGAAATAGCCAAAGCCCTGGAACCAAAGGATGGAGGGGGTGAGGTGGGGAGTGTCCAAAGTGCAGAGTAGAAGCAGGGAGCCAATTTTGCCAGGCTGGGGGGCAGAGGGGAGTTTCCCTGCTCTACCCCACCAGATCCAGGATAAGGCTGAAACTAATTTTTGAATCATAAGGGAGAAAATCAAAACAATCAAAAAAAATTTTTTAACACCTCTGGCCTACGGTCAGAGATCCAAAAGCCCCTCTTGAGCCCGGGCATCCTTCTGCCCCTGAAGCCCATCCGGGCCCTGAGTGTGTCTGTGTTCTTCGTGCCCCAGACCGGGGGATGAGCCCTAGACGGCGCTGGGGCGGGTGCAGTTCCTGAACTTTTGTACTCTTGTGTGCTGCTGTCGGCAAAGCAGAAATAATGAAACTTTGTGATATGTTTGTAAATGATTTCAAATGACCCCTCGCCCTGCCCTTCACCATTAGCGCGCCGACCCTAGCCCAGGGCAGCTCGGTGCCTGCAAGCAGTGCCTGCCGCGGGGTCTGCAGCAGCGGGACAGAGCGGCCAGACCGGCCCAGGGCCCAGGAAGGTAAATGGGAGACTTCTGGGAGAACGAGCTTTGTCAGCCAACCTGGCTTGCTCCCGCACTGGGGAAAAAAGAATGGGTGGAGGATATTCCCCTCTTGCATCTTTTCTTCTGCCACTGAGGGCGTTTGCACCTTTCAGGAAAATACCACTTGATGGGGGGGAGGTAGCTGGATCTGGAGGGGGGGTAATAAAGCTGCCATTTCCAGGATGGATTATTTTTTCTTCTTTTCTTGTCTTTCTTTCTTAAGAAGACTGTCCCGTCTCCTTGGCTGCTCAGTCACTCCAGCCCTGGTACAAGGATGGGGAACTCGTTGCTGCAAATTTTCACCAAGCTCTCCAAGCTACCTGAACCCTCTCTGAAAGTGCGAGGAGCTGCGTCGGGCTGGTGATGGCTCCGAGGAAGAGGCCGGGGCTGCCAGTGGTCTGGGTACCCACTCTGGGTGGAACCTGGAGCTAGTAACGTTGTCTATATATACCCTGTAGAACCGAATTTGTGTGGTATCCACATAGTCACAGATTCGATTCTAGGGGAATATATGGTCGATGCAAAAACTTCATGTTTCTCCGAAATGGCCATAGTCAGAAGCAGAGGCCAGAGGCAGCCGGGCGCGGGTCAATTTTCTTTCTGTTTTATTACCTTAGACTCCAGGAGGATGGACTGAGCCTGGTGCCATAGTGGAGTCTTTGCCTCTAGAAGCCCCGCAGAGGCTCCCGTGTAAACCCTTAATTAGTTGCATGAATGCAGGGCCAAAGGGCTAGCTTTTGGGGGACTGGGGAGCAGGGTGGAAGGCCAGGTAGCCCCAGCCCCAATTCTGCCCTGAAGGAGTATGAGGTGAGGTCAGAGGCTGCCAGTGAGGGGGCTCACTGGTCATTGACCGCCATGTGGGAAGAAGGCCATTTAGGAAGAAGGAGTGCAGGGTCCTTTGGAGGCCATCTGGGTGAGGTGGAGGTGCCAACACCACCTTCCAGGCCCACCCCTCAGCTGCATGAGCCGGGGGTGGGGAGGCGGGTAGCAGTCTTGCCATACCTGGAAGACCGGCTTGGGCTAGAAACACTCCAGCCTGGGCACTCACAGAAAGCTTGGCAGTTACTCATTGCCTGATTTGATTCAGGCCAGCCAGATTGTTGTAACTTTTGGGTGACCCTGATGAAGACAAAGCCAGGACTCGGCCTTTGTATGGCAGACTCCCCGCTCCCGCGGGCGGGAGCCCTGCCTGCCTGGGGTACTCCGCCTAACTCAGAGGCTGCCTCACCCACCCGCCTGGTGGTATTCTGCAGCCTGACAGATTTGGGGTTTCATTCCCCCCATTGAACTGTGCCCATTTTGGGGGGCTGTTTTCAGGCGGGGGTGCGTGGAGAGGGCACTCGAGGTTAACAAAGTCGGTGGCAGACAAAAGCTGGGATTACCTGCCAGGAATGAGGGTGCTGGGGATTAGAGAACTACATTAACATCTGGTGGGGGCCTTCAAATGTGCCATGGCGAGTCACTTGATTACACGTTATGTTATTTAGTTAAATTTGTGAAAATTATGAGATGCTCACCAACCCGGTGATAAACTCGCTCCCTCGCTATTGGCTGGCCTGGTCACATGGCCGCCAACTTTATTCAGTTGACAGCAAGTAGGAGGGCCCTATGGAAGGAGAAAAAAAGACAACACGAGAAAAATTAGTATTTTCTACCTTCAGAAATTAATGGCCATGAGTTCGTATATGGTGAACTCCAAGTATGTGGACCCCAAGTTCCCTCCGTGCGAGGAATATTTGCAGGGCGGCTACCTAGGCGAGCAGGGCGCCGACTACTACGGCGGTGGCGTGCAGGGTGCAGACTTCCAGCCCCCGGGGCTCTACCCACGGCCCGACTTCGGTGAGCAGACCTTCGGAGGCGGCGGCCCTGGGCCCGGCTCCGCGCTGCCCACACGGGGTCACGGGCAAGAAGCCAGTGGCCCCGGCGGCCACTACGGAGCCCCAGGAGAGCCGTGCCCCGCGCCCCCCGCGCCCCCGCCCGCGCCCCTGCCCAGCGCCCGGGCCTGCAGCCAGCCGGGCGGCCCCAAGCAGCCGCCCCCCGGGACGGCACTCAAGCAGCCCGCCGTGGTCTACCCGTGGATGAAGAAGGTGCACGTGAATTCGGGTAAGGCACAGCCCAGCGACCTCTCAGTCCCAGCCTGGAGGCCTGGGCCCCTGGGAGGGGGTGCGAGTGGGTGGGGGCGTGTGGGGCTTCAATGGGCGCCGCAATTACTCTCTCCATAAATTTTTATAGCTGAGGGAGCAGGCCGGGACCATGTGGCTGGCTGCTGGGCTGTGGGCGAAAAAGGGGGTGGAGATGGGGGTGGGGTGGGGGAGGACTCCATTTTCAGAGCGGAGGGAACCTGGTAGAGGAGAGGGGGATTTCTAAATGCTTGGGAATTCTGGAGCTCGCGGCCGGGCCGGGGAGATTGGAGCACATTTGGGAATCCCCGCCCGGGAGCCTGGGGGAGTTGGTGGGTGTGAGGGTGGGTGGGAGTGAGCGTGTGTGTGCGTGCACGCGGGGCAGGGGGACGGGAGGGCGGGAGGGAGGAAGGGAGCCGGCTGGGGAGTGTGCGGGGAGGGCCGCGGGGCCTCGGGGCGCGCCAGGAAGTGAGCGGCAGTGGCGAGGGGCCTAACGAGTGGCTGGGCGCTGACCTGACCGTGCTGTTTTGTCTCGCAGTGAACCCCAACTACACTGGCGGGGAGCCCAAGCGGTCCCGGACGGCCTACACCCGGCAGCAAGTCCTAGAACTGGAAAAGGAATTTCATTTTAACAGGTATCTGACGCGGCGCCGTCGGATTGAAATTGCTCACACCCTGTGTCTGTCCGAGCGCCAGATCAAGATCTGGTTCCAGAACCGGAGGATGAAGTGGAAAAAAGACCACAAGCTGCCCAACACCAAAGGCAGGTCCTCGTCCTCATCCTCCTCTTCTTCCTCCTCCTGCTCTTCCTCAGCTGCTCCCGGCCAACATTTGCAGCCTCTGGCCAAGGACCACCACACGGACCTGACGACCTTATAGACGTGGGGACCCTGGGCCCATTCCTCCCTGCGCTCCCGGCTGAGCCGAAGCTGCGGGGGCAGGCCGGGCTTGCTGTCACCTCCCTGGGCTCTAAGGTACTGTGGGGTGGACCTGGGACACGCAGGCCGCCCTCGGACTAGGTTAGCATCCTGCCCGAGGGCAGCCCCCTCCCTGGAGCGGGATGGGGGTGGGAGGGGGGCGGGATTCTCTCTCTGAGTACATTATCATATGGCAGGAGCTACTGAGAACATAAACCTTGGCGAGTTATTAAACTTATGAAAATCTCTGCTGTTGGATTTTGAATTTGCAAATGAAGGTTGGATACTTTATCCCAGCTTGAATCTGAACATCCTCCCCCACCCCACCCCTCCAGGGATCTTTGTGGTTTAATAATGTGGGGGAGTTGAGGCAGAAGGTTGGCCACCCTGTGCTAGGTGCTTTCAGGGGAAACAGGAGAGCTGGGCCAGGATTTCTGAACTTTCTGGGTTATCTGTATAATTTCCAGTGTGAGAAAAAGTATTTTGCTCCCAGTGGCCCCATGCCCAAAGAAACGAGTCTAAGAAGAAAGTGGAAACGGGTTATTTTATGTTTAGATTATATTTGCTTAAATATTTATTTGTTGGGGGATGGGGAACAGAAATAACTGACATCTTAATGCCAAAAATCTTGAGACGGTGAAAGGGGCTGAGTTTCAGGGAGGAGAATCAGAGATGCGTGGACTAACTTCTGGCTCTAACCGGCATTTTGAACTCCACCCTCCTCCCCACTCCCCGGAAATGTGTGTAGGGGGCCCTTAACTCTTTTAGAAGGAAGCAAAGGGTCCACTCAGAGTTGAGTTCTTGAAAATATATTTCCACATGTGCTTTTTTCAGCACTGTGCTTACAACTAGTTCTGGGTGATTAAAGAAAAGGGAAAAGAAAGAAACAAATGGTCCAACATTTTTCCTTCTGGGGAAAGAAAACAAAACCTCTATGTTCTGGGTCATTAGATAATGACTGAATTTTCTGTTCCAACTGGATTCCAAATGCTGGATTCCAAATAACCCATATAGCAGTTTTCTTATAGGAATTGGTGTACGCCTATATGGGAGAGGGGGTGTGTAGTGGGGAGAAAGTGGGAAAGTAGGGGAATCTTGCTTTAAAAAGGAGAGAGAAAACTAATTGAATCTAGAAGTCCACAAAAGTTGGTCTTAGGGGTTTTTTTTCCTGAAGTTTTTATTTTTTAAACAGATGTAAGGAAGTTTTTCTCAACACATGAATTAGAAGCAGAAATTGTAAAAGTATAAAAGTTTCAGGCCCTCTTCCTTGCCTTAAAGAATGGTGGTTTAAGAATCACTCTCAAACAACAAGAGTGATGTTCTTCAGTCATTTTTCTTATGCCTTGCCTGAGAAGGGTTCAAAGCTCATTTTTCTAAAATGCTGACCCTTAAGGATAAGGGGGGAAGGAGTCAAAGGTAATCGCCAGAGTTCATATACTCAAATGAAACAAGACTTTGGAAGTTTAAACCCCAAAGCCTCGGGCTCCAAAAAGAAACCCCTGGTTGTAGCTACAGAAAAGTGACAAAAGGGGGTGGGGAGGGGGAAGGGATGAGCTTGAAAGAGAGATTCAGAACTGGAGGTATTTTTTTCAGGGCTTCAGAACACTTTAGAAGGTGTGGAGGTAATTTTTTAAAATATATTTAGGTGGAGGGAGAAAAAAGAGTTTTTCTGCATGCATGTTCTTTGGTGTCTCCTGAGAGCTGAGAGCAGGTATTCACTGGAGTCCCTAGGCTGAAATTCCACTTCTCTAAAGTATCTTCCAAGCCTTGGTCTTTTGTATTAGACCCTGGGGACAGCTCTTTGTTCCTCCTTGGGGTGAGCCTGGCTCTCAGACTTGCACATGGCAATACTTGAATATCGTCACGTCGGGATATTAGAGATGGATATTCCTGCATTATTCGCATCATTGTTTCTATGACAAAAAGCAAAGAGTCCATACATAGTCAAGACGTCTTTTTTTCTGACGCCCTCACGTTGAGAAGCTGAAAAGGTATTTTACTGAAGTTCGGCTAAATTACAGAATCAGGTTCATCCAGAGGACAAATTTTCTATTCGATTAGCTGTATTTCAGCCGGGAGGACTGACCTCTAAACCCTTAACCTTTTGGACTCTAACTACCCTTCTCTTCTTTTTTTTCCCCTCTAACATGGAGAGCAGTCTTTGGATGTAGCATTTGAAAAGAGCCGCTTTGGTTAGGCAAGTTGGAAAGTGGCTAAGATTCTTTCCTAAGGCCCAACTCTGTGAATATATTGAACCTTCTCCTTGGGAGGGGGAAAAAGTATATATTTTCACAACACCCAATTACATATATGTTATAGAGTATTATATAGATTTCCCCCTTCCCAGAAGTTCAGGTTATTCACCCTAGCTTCAGACCAAATGCCAAAACTGCATAGCTGCCTTCACCCATGCCCCAGAGGAAAGCCAAGAGGCATGTTTTGATGAAGAAAACCCAAGCTCCTTCTCCAACGTAGCCCCACTACTTTGAAAAGTAGCTTAATCAGAGAAACAGCTTCTTTGTTTATAAGTCTCTGTTCTCCTCAGTTTCCAGGGATTGTCTTTTGAAATGTTAATGGAGCCTGGATGGCCCAGGGGGCAGCCCTCAACCCTGTGGTCCCAATTGGACCCCAGCGTCCATTTGGGCCCACCGGAGTGGGGCAGGAAAGAAGCAGTGCCTCCCCCCAACCACCGCCACCAAAGGGCAGGGAAGGAAATGAGTTTCCATCTGGGAGCGTACTCTGGAGAGACCTAGATGTGGAAAGGAGCAGTGCCCATTTGCTTTTATTTGTTTCCAGTTTGTTCCCCCAAATATGAGCCAGAAGTGTTTGTTTTGTTGTTGTTGTTGTTGTTTTTAAAGCTGTGTTGGGGTCGTGACTGGGGAGGAGTGAAGTGTTTACTGAGGACATTGCTCCTCAGACTCCCATCTCACTTTGTCTATTGCAGCCTTTTGTTGGGAGATGACATTGTCAGTCAGCCCCATGGTGTCTGTTCACACAAGATGCTTTTTTAATAGAATTGACCAATGTTCTGCTGCCATTGATTAAAGTATTATTTATACTAATTGTTGCCTGTAGTTTTGATGTAATTCATTGATCTATATTTGAAATAATAAAAGGTGTAGCGAAATCTCCATCCTGTTTGGTGCCTCCACAGAAGCATTCTTCATTAAGTCTTCTAAAAGCTAACATTCAATATAAACAATTTATTTTATTATTTTCTGCACTGTGCCTGACATGTGAAGGTTAAACTGTGTAAGGGTTAGCAAATCTGTCATTGACCTGTCCCCCACACATACACGCTCCCAATTTGGCCACCATATTTTGTGAGCCTTGGGCAGCCTAAGCTTGGATTCAGGCTGCAGGGCATTATTTTTTGAAAGGAAAATAAGTAACTTCCTAGGCCAAAAGGAGGCTCCAGGCTGGCTCTCTGTGTGGCCCGGGTTCGCCCCAGACCCCATCGGTCTCTCTTTGTTTTGTGGTGGGTGAGAGACTTCCCTGCACGCCCCCCGCCCCCCCAACTCGGAAGAGTGCTGGGTTCTGGGCCAAGCTGGGACTGGCCAGTCAATGTCTACTAGGACCAGACCCCTCTAGCCTCCAATCTTGGACTCCTACTTTTCCTGTGCTATTCAGCCCCATTGGGGCCTCCAGCACCTGCCCCTTCTTCCCCTGGAGCCCCCTCTGCCCTCCAGACGACAATAAACACTCCCCACTATAAAAAGTGGCGTGCGCTATTTTTTTTTTTCCGCGAGGGCTTTCTCTCGTCTTTGCCTCGCCTTGAAGAGTGGGCCAAGACAGGAGTCCCAAAATAGCTGGGGGAGCGGGGGGGGGGGGGGCTTGCTCGCGACAGGAAATGAGCAGAATGCATAAAATCAGACATGTGTCCTTAATATATGGAAGGGCTCGCCTCAGACGCGTGGACATGTGTATGTATAAGTGTGCAGACAGAAGTTTAAATATTCAGACACATTTTATGATTGTCCTCTGCCCGTCTTCTGGTTAATGGCTCCTCCTGTGCCCACCAATACATCAATACCGTTGTGTGTATTGAATCACGGGCAGGGACGAGGAGGAAGCGAGTCCATAGCCGAGCCCGCTTGAGTACAGTACAGTAAATCGGGACCCTCGGCAGACGGCGCTTCCCGCCCGCCCGCCATGTTGGGGAGCCCTCCCTGCCCCCCGCGCCTGGCTGGGCGGCCGGGGCTCGCCGGCAGCCGGGGGAGGGCCTTTCATAACCCGGAGAATTTTCAAAGTGCGAGGAAGATGATAAGAATAGATTTCTACAAGTCCCGACCACGTGATTGGCGAAATAATTAATTCAGCACGTCCCTTAAGAAACACGGAGTCGTCATTAATCTGCCACGCAAAGGGCTCTCTCCGACTTGGAAAGTGCAGGGATCCCAAGAATATCACCCGCCGAGGGGGGCCGCGCGGCGCCCCCAGCCCTCCACCCTCGGCCCCCAGTGGCGGGCGCGGGAGCGCGGCCAGCAGGTAAATATTTTGGCGACTTTTATTTCTTCAGATTTAAATCCTTAATGAACTTAGCTGTCAGGGCCGCTGACAAATAGTTCCCTTTGCTTCCTGATTTGGAACCGCGCGCCGGCGAGAAGTTGTTAGTGGCTTGGATGGTGACCTTTGGTTCAGCAAAGCTTTGCACTTATGAAAAATTACTGAGAGCGGCCGAGTGTGTGTATGTGAGCGCGAGAGGGGGTGTGTGTGAGCATGTGGGGGTGTGCGAGGGGCGAGGGGCCGAGGGGGCGAGGGGGCGAGGGTGCGCGCGGGCTGCTCCCAAACAACAGGAGTTGTAAAAAACCCGCCCGGCTGGGGGACGCGCCTGGCGCACGCGGGCCGAGGTTGCCCGATCGCCTGTGTCTACCGGGAACAATGGTCGCTGTCACGGCATCTGCTGCCTATTCTTAAACTGGTGAGAAAAGGCCCCGGCCCTCTTTTCAAGCGAGGGTCGTAAATTTTTCTTTGCGTCATAATAGAAGGCTATAAAATCGAGTTGAAATTTTACCCCAGGCAGGTTTTAACCAACAGATAATGATTTCCGAGTTGCTTCTCCCACTCCCCTCCTTTCCCACCCAAGCTCTGCTGCTTCTGTCACCCTCGCAAGGAGTTTCTCCTTCTTTCCCCTTTATCTTTGTATTTTTAATTTGGGCGAAGATCTAAAATAAAGGCACGGGTTGGAAGTCCCTGCCGCTGGAGTGAGAGACCCTGGGGCGAAAGGAAGCCTGCGGCAGGGAAATGCGGGAGAGGCCAGGTCGAGGTGCAAAGGCTGTCTGTCCTGTCGCCTCCCATTCCAGTCTTTTTTCTCCCATCCTCCACGGAGAGATCTGCGGTCCCACTAGCCACTCCGCTCCCACCCCACCCCACCCCCAGCTTGCCGGGGGATCTGGGTTGGGGCAGCAGCCGGCTTTCTCCTCCTCCAGCTCGCAACTCAGGGCCAGGGCCGGGGAGGAGAGCCTCTTTATTCGCCTCCTTCCCTCCCGTTGGCTTTGAGGATGATTTCCGCTGGCTGGAGCTGGCTGTGTTTGGTAGTTGTTTGGGGGTTGTGTGTATGTTTTGATTTCTTTTTTGGTGTGTGTATATTTCCCCGTCAGGACAGAGACAAAGTTTCCTCCGCTATAAATTATACATTCAAACAATAATACATTAATTCAATTATTCAAAGATGACAAATGTTTATGTGCTTTGCAAGTGACTCCGACGCAGATTCCGGGCGCTTTCTCTGAGCTGCTTGCGTTTTTCTCAATGAGAATTGGCTCCCCTCCCACCCCAACCCCACCCACCCGAACCCACCTGAACATCCCCTGGTAGGCCCAGAGAGGAACCCACAAAAGCCTCCCCAGCCCCGCTGGCAGCCCGGCAGCCAACAGCCTCCCAGGTCCTGGGTTTGGCGGGCACCGGCCCGGGCTATTTTATCAGTGTGACAATTGCCCGGGTTGATGTGATAAATCATCGTAAGTAATTCCTGAAAGGGTGCGAGGCTGTTGGGGGCCGGGCGAGGACTGTAAATCTTTCCGGTTTATTGCTCTATGAACATATGCTCCTATTGAAGAAGGCTTAGATCCTTTCCGGGAGACAAATTCCCGCAAATCGGCCCCCCTCTTTGCAGGAGATTAACACTTGCTGCGGGCCCGTTGCTTGGCCCTTGGCGGGAGGCTAGGGGGCGGAATCCTCCGGGTGGGGGTGAACTGGGGGCACCTACGGTCCAGCCTCAGGAGGCGGCCCGAGTGGGCCTCCAGCCAGGCCTGGCCAGGTGAACAAAAGGAGGAGCTCCCTGACAGGTCTGGGGGCTCGAGCCTGGGACCTGTCCTCGGGGACTTCCTGTGCTTCTGAAGGGGGGGAGGGAATGAGGAGGACTTTACCCCCTTCTCCCCAGCTCTTCTGGGGCTGCCGAGCACATTCACATTCGCCTTCGCCTGTCGGAGACCGTGCAAGCGGCGACAGGGCATCTGCTCGGGGCCCGATGCCGTTGAGAAGCAGAACTGGCCATGAAAACGAGACTTCGGGGATGGGGTGGAGATTCCCGCATGGTGCGGGATTCCGGGGTGCAGGTCGGGCCGGGAGAGGGCCATGGGGCTCTTGGCAGGCTAGGACCTGGAGGCTGGTCGCTCACCCTGGCCGGGAGCTTAACTCTTTCTCACACGCAGAATTGTTAGCGTAAATTCCGCCCGACCGCTCGGAGAGTGCTGGGTACAGGTACCGATGTAATATTTCTAAACAGAAGCTCCCTTGACTCCCAGATAAGCCCGACTAGGACTGATTTCGCAGGCTCCTCGCCTTCTTGGAGGCGCCGCAGGAAGCGGGAAGCCGCGGCCCGGCAGTCTCCGGGGCCTGCGGATCCCGTGGGCCGGCCCAGGTTCGGAGGCGCGCAGGTCTCGGCAAACAGCGGCTCCAGGCCGCGCCCGACCCGAGGGGAGCGCGCAAGACGCAGAGAGGGCAGGCCGCTACCGGTCTGGCCTGCTGCTTCTGCGCCTTTCCCGGCTCTCGGGAGTGGGGGCTCCTCCGCTGCGTCTGCGGAACGAGCCGTGGTGAGGGTGGGGGGTGGGAGTGGGGGTGGGGTTTCCCCGGGGTGACCGGCCGGGTCTGGGAGCTGGAGTCACCCACCTTAGGGCCGGAGCCTGCGCTGTGCCACAACTAATTGCCTCGTCCGGGGAGGGGGAGAGGAGCGCGTCCGCCTAGGCGGAGCCTTGCCTGGGTGCGTGCGGATGCGAGGTATCAGGCTCGGCCGGCCGGGGAGCTAAGGGAACCTTGGGCCTCTGATGCTCCGCAGCCGCCTCCGGAGAGGCCTCTGAGAGGCAGCCGCTAAAATTTCCAATCCGTGGGCCAGTCCGGTGGAAAGCTGGGCCAGGGTCAGAGGCTGTGGGGGGAGAGACTCTCTGCGCCCCCATCCCACTGCCGGCGGCCAGGCTGGGCTGGGTTGGTCCCGAGCGGCGAGATGGGGGCTTTCTTTCGGCTCCTTGCCCACCCGAGTCTGCTCCGGGGAATGGGCCCAGATCCCACGCTTCCTGCCCCTCCTCCAAGCCCCCCGGCCTGGCTGCGCTCCGGGGCTGGATGGCGTGAAAGTTTCAGCCTCAATCAGTACAATCTTCCCTCGGGGTCACGTGAACAAATATGCTCGCATTTGAAGGCAGCGTCTGTATTTCCCGACTATGAGGGGGTTTCCGGGGCTCTCTCCAAATCCAGAAAGGGCCACATTCCGAAAGCAAAACAAACCCCGAGCTCTGGGGGGTCTGGGAGGGCTGGGCAGGAACCCAGGAGTGGGTGGGGGCGCGGGTGGCCGCCGCTCTGGGCCTGGGAGCGGACAGGCGGGCGGGTGGACCGACGGGCGCGCAGCGCGGGCGAAGCCAGCTCGGGACTACGAACTCGTTCCTCCTGCGTTTATTGGTAGTTGAACCTCAGCCTGGTTCCGTTCTACCGGGAATTCCGTGTCTTCGGGTATATGGCCGCGTCTGCGAGCGCGCAAGACCAGGGTTGGGACAGTGTTGTCTGCAGACAAAGGGGGAAGGCTAGCTCTGCCCCCCACTGGCGCCCACTCTGAGGCCGAGGACACCAGGTTTATGATAAATTGGGATCCAGGTAAGCAATTGCATGACAAAATGGAAATCTTTGGGCACCGGGCTGCTTGCTGCCCGGAATGGGATACTAAATATGATTTATTTTGTGTAATCTGTGATCTTGATTATTGCCAATTGGTGAGGCAGTCCGCGTAGACCTAGATACACTTCTACATATACATCGAGGACGGTGATTAATCGTAAGGAGGTGCGCTTTGTGGGGATGCTCCCCTCCTACCCAAAGGTTAGGAGGACACACTACCTTGCCAGGGTTGGGGGTGCTGGCTGATGGCATGGTTGGAGAGGGAGGAGGTGGTAGTTTGAGGAGAGGGACGGTGAGGGGGGTCGGGGGCTGGAGGAAGTATTTTGGGGGTATATGTGCAGTTATGAGAATGGGCTGGAAAATGAAATGAATAAAAAGAAACTTTTTTTTACACTGTCACTGCCAAAGTAAGATGGAGCGTCATATTAATTCCGTGTCTTGGGCTGCCTGGCTGGGCACAGGCAGGTTGATTTATATGTATTTAAAATAAACTCTGTGACCAGCCAGCTCCCTGCATTGTTCTGGGAGCTAGCTCTACATACGCACGCCTTTATCTCTTGCTGCTGGCTTAATATTTTTTTCCTTTAGAGGTTAAGGTGCTACTCAAGCTTCTCCCCCAAATTCAAGAGAACCCCCAAACTACTCAGAAGAGTTTGAGAGGCTCCTCCACATGTCCCCTCACTAATCTGGGTTTTGGCTTCCATGGTGTCAGAGAAAAGATTTAGGGCTCCTGAGTTCTTCTCCCCAAAGAACCGAGGATGAAAGCTAAATCATATTTTGGCTTCTGCATCTCTTGCATCCTTTTGTTTACTGGATCCCACGGCTCCTGGCTGGAGGAGGACAGGACAATTCATCCTGGGCTTTTCCGGGGCCAAAGCCCAAGTAAGCAGCTCCCTGAGTCCAAGAGAGCAGCTCCAGGCTCATGGGAATGCCACACGGCCGGGCCAGACTGGGCCTCTATGGGGAAGGGTCCCAGAAAGCAAGGAGCAGTCCCTTAGCCTAGGTTGGGACAGGCCCCCCCAGCCAGAGACTTCCAAGGGCATCGCCATCAAAGGAGAGCAGTAAAGTTGTTTTGTCAATCGCCTGCTCTTGGCTCCATCAGAACTTAAAGTCGCTGGACATTTTTCTTCTCCCGCTGCCTTGGAGCAGCGCGCCTGCCAACTTAGTCAGCTGAATCCAATTACTGCGAGCAGCATTTCATTTGGCCCCATGGAGCACTCACTTATAACTTCCCCGAAAATTTCAATAATCCGCACCAAGGCTCCCTATCCTAAAGACTTTTCCCGGGGATGCTGGTGGGGGTTGGGGTGTAGGGCCGGGTCTGCCTTGGACCAGCTCTTCGTTGACAGCTCGCAGATAGGGCTCCCTCCTGCTCTCCCAGTTTC